CATAGGTATACACACATAAATACTGGTAACATTTCATGCATGAAGAAAAAAAATGAAACGTAATAAACACAATAGTTGTAAAATTTGAAAATGTTGCACAAAAGGGTTCCCTGGGTCTGCCAATTTGTTTACCTATATTTTTGGTAAACAATCACTTAGTTTTGAATAATTACTTGCAGGATCAAGCTATAAAATCCTAGATCATTTTTGTGCATAACTTCTCAAGAAAGTGTGTTCGACTATTGTTCTAGGTCTTAAAGTTGAGTGTTCAAAGTAACGAAAACTTAAAAGTAAACAAAGGAAATTGATGGATTTGGCTATGTCGGAATCCAATATAAAATGAATTGGAGAAGTACTAATATTAAAACAAAGTAAAGAAAAACTAAGATCTATTTTGATTAAATAAAGAAAAGTTGGTGTATAGAATCATACATATTACACACAAACTCGTATCTCTCTCTAACTTGGATACTTTGAATTATATAGAGATTTTGTAATGATATTGTCACCCGATTCCTAACGCTAGAACCACTGTATACTAATGTGAAAATAACTTTCTACAACGGTTACTTCTCCACTATCCGACACATAATTCTCTAAAGTTTTCAATCTTCTAACTTGTTTCCCCGTGTCTTCGACGTCTGTATAAGATTGAAAACCAATTACTAAATCTGATCCTTTTACTTCGCCTCAACCATCATGGTTTACGACTCAACCTATTAAATTCTGAGGAGAAACAATCTCAACATTTGGAAAAATACTAAGTCAAAAATCATTTCCAAATGTGTCGAAATCTACATTTATGGTTAAACACTTGACGTGAATGTCACCATGTGTCCTCATTTTAACTAAGTATCACCTTAGCTTCGTATCCTCTTTGTCAAACTCTGTGTGTCGCCAATTTCGTGCTAACATAGCCAAATCAAGTTGGCCATGTTTCTTAAAGAGACTTGGAAGATAACCACCCTCTTCCCACGGTCTTAAGAATGGAAAGTGTGGAATCTATCTTCTTGGGATCTGAGACATAAGACCACAAGATTTTTATAAATACCTTAATTTTGAGGTTGAGATGGGAGATCCAATCCACTATACAAACACCATATACAAATCCTATCACTATCTTTGACAACCCTATAACTAGAGGAATTGTCACTTATTCTACTTTAGCCAGTATAAAAACCTAATAAGTAGGAAGATTTTGTCGACCTACCCAATTCAAAAGATCTAAAATCGCAATGGAATCCCGAATATGGTTAACCTATATCCTATCTAATGTCACACCTAAACTAAATACCTCTTCAACAACTCTCAAGTTAACCCAAATTATCTGGTATATTTTAACCAAATAGGAGATAAACATATCAAAAATCATCTCAAATAGGATTTGATTGATTGTCTAATCAATTTTAAAACCTCTTTTAGTGTTCTCGGGAGTGATCACTAGAATTTTCAGATCTTTTGAAGTAGATATATCGGACTATTACCATCGCTAGTTTGATACAAAAATTGAAAAGATTGTGTTCACTTCTATTATATGGAAAGAAACCATATAGAACAAATTCTTTCAACCATTCCGCCTACAAAACCCCAACAACACCAACAAGAACCTGTAAGATTGGATGTTGTGAATAATAATCTGCATACTTAGTTTACTCATTCCTAGGATATTAGGGATTCATGCCACATGGGTTTGCTTTCCATTCATGATTCTATGAGTAGATTGGAGCAACGGATTTAGAACCTCATTCTCCTTATGATCATCAACCTTTACAGGAAGATTTTATTAGTGATCTATAATGGATATAAATAGGCTATTTTATCAGAACACTAGTGAGATAAGGTCAACAGAAGTGGAAGAGGCAATGGTAGAAGTAAGGCTTAAGAAGAGGAATATTAGGATGAAGAAGAAGAAGAAGAAGAAGAAGAAGAAGAAGAAGAAGAAGAAGAAGAAGAATGGGTCGAGTGTGAAGAAGAAGAAAAGAAAGAAGAAGGTGATGATTGAGCTATTGTCACATTTTCCTATCATCACTGTGATCATTATCTGTTTTCTAATTTCTACTTTTTAGTTAGTTATGTTTTGAAACTTTTGTGTTTTTATAAGTTTTTATGTGTGTTCTAACAAATGCCATGGAAAATGTAATTTTGGACATGTCGGTCATTTTGTACTGAGAACATGAGCATGTCTGAATTCGCAAAACATTTTAGTACACTTTGGACCTAATCTATGAATGGTTTTATGCTCTTCATATATATGGCGTGTTTTGAGATGAATTTAAACAAGCATTGCATGTTATGTGAAAAATCTCAAGAGACCCGCTAAGTGAATCCTGTTGTGTGCTAAGCTCAATATGATGCATTTTGGTGGCTTAGCGAAATTCTTACAGCTAAGCGAGGATCCCTGAAAAATCATTCCTACTATGATGATCTGAGAACATGCCAAGCTTTTCTAGAGGGGATGAAATGCAAGAAAGATCAAAGTCAAACCTACACAAAACATGTGATATTTAAATTGTTTTCATTATTAAGTACTTGTTGAAAAAGTTGGAAAATTTTCTATTTAAAATTGTTTGTCTGTAGATGGTTCAACTGACTTGAAAAGCCAAATGCATAAAAATAAGAAAAGTTAGGTTGACGATACAAACTTGGAAAAATGGCATGATAAATTTTTTTTATTTTAAATTATTCATTCATTCATGATTTTTTTATTTTATATGAATTATAACATGACCATGAATGAATTTCTTACAAAATGTTTGATTTTACTAATCTTTAGTAAAAACATGTCAATGAAAGTTAAGAATTATATAAGCCTAACCAAAGGAAATTTGTACAACCTTATGTTTTTCATAAATATTAAGAGAAGACATGCCTACTAACTATGTGTATTTTGCATCATTCTTTCTATCACTTGATATATTTTAAGTCATGGCAGCCAAGAACATAGCAAGGCTATCTAGGCCAAAAACGTAAGCATGCTTAGCGAGAAATTGTGTATAACCTTGCTAAACAGGTGTGCTTAGAGAGCAAAGTGGTTTATCACTTCAAAGAAAAGTTACTTCAAGATGAAGGAAGATTTTGTGCATTAAAAAATAATGCTTGGTGCGCTTAGTAAGCTAAGGTGGCAAGGCAAGTTGCAAGTGAGTTAGAATTACTTATCCAAGAAGAAATTAAGCATACTAAGCGATCCTGGACAATGCGATTAACGAGTCTACCATTTCAAACCCTATAAATATAGGTGCTAGTCATTTCATTTGAGATATATATGTGGATATGAGGTTTTTCTTAGAGAAAGTGGGTTCTCAAAATAAATCACAATATGAGTGAGTATGACATGAAGATTGAGGGTGGTAGCACTTCTCGAGGAATCGTCGTTGATGTTGTTCAACTTCTTACTTCTCAGGTTTGATTGTAATGCTATGATGAGTAAACTTAGATAATTTTCTCTTTTGTAGCGTTTATATGTAGTTGTTCTAGTACTTATATTTTGATCCCGACCATGGTGTTCTATGTAATTATTCTTAAGTTTTAATGTTGATAGATTCTTCGTTCTTAATGCTTGTTTTGGATTAGCTAGATTCAAATCTTTCATTTATTGGATATGTTAAAGTCTAGACATAAATTTAGGTTAAATATCTATTTTAACTATTGAAATTTAATGTTGGTGTATTGGTTGGTTGACTGCGAGATTTTCCAAAAAATATTTACCCCAAAAGGATGCAAATCTTAATGTAGTCATGTTACCTAAGAAGGATCACAATGGTATTTGGAGGTCACCAATCTTTTACATCTTATTTTTTAATTCGACATCGTAATTATATTTTTAATTCTCTTCTTTAATTCTGAGTTTATTAGAGTCCAATGAGATATCAAATTCTTCATTAATACACTTCACTTGATCTAATTCAAATCTCTTGTCTTTCTTTCTCTTTCTTTAACAAGCCTAATATTTTTCTCCCTCTTTGGTTCTTAGAGATTGGTATAAACCTTCAAGATCTTGGTTTCTTGCTTCACTAACCGCCTTCTTGGTCCCTTTCTTAGATTTCTTATACTTTTTCGATCTCCTTCTTGGTTTTTTGGTTTCTTACTACAAATTTCAGGGCTATGATCCGATCTCCTACTCTTTTCACGTCCACAATTTCCTTCCTCCACTCTTTGTCTAAGATATTTTCCACCCCATTTCTCGATCTAACTTTTCCGATATAAAAAAGTTTAAAATCCGAATTGCCTAATTCTTTTGCCTTTTCACATTTCTAGTTAATTTCTTGTAGACACACAAAATTTACTTTTCTCCTAACCATATCATCCACTATTTTCATAGATTGTCTAGTAAATGTGGCTATATTTCAGGTTCCAAAACAAATCCTACTCTCAAGAATAAACTTCTTTACCCACACTCACGGAAACATGAAAATCATTGTTTATTTTTCACTGCATCTAGGTAGCGAAGCAACAACCCTTGCTCTTTTGACACTGTACTCTAGCCATACAATACTTTTTTTCCGAACAACAGCCAAACATTCAAATTATTATGCAATTAATCCATGTCATAGAAATTCAACAAAATTTTACGTTGATTGTTGACTGTTTAACACAATTGTCTCCTTTTATCTAGACTTAAGATCAACAATGCATAACAATCCTTATATAGACATGATTATTCTAAAATATTATTCATTAAATAAAATAGAAATTAACGATAAACTTTGTGGACTATGCTAATACCCAATGGTGGAAAAAAAAAGTAACAATTATCTCATTAAAAACCTTTTAACAAAACTCAAAAAGATAAAACCAAAAATAAGGTAAAACAAAGAGTTCATAACGGTAAAATAGACACAACTAAGTCTACTATGACTGAAAATAAATCTAATATGGTAAGTAGATACCTTTAAACTTATTGAAAACAAAAAAGGGATTAAATAACAATAGGATGTTTTCAAAATACAAGGTAATGTATAATTTGTAATTTACTACTTAACTTTATTTCTTGAACTCCTTTCTCATTGAATGAACGAGGTCTTAATTTTGAGTAATGATGATGTTATATCTTTCATATTAATTCGTTCTTCAGGTGAATCTTCACAGCATCTCAATGCTATAGCTAAAATTTCATGCATTTCTTTCTCATGTGAGACTAAATTGCAATCCGCAACTTCCATAATTGAACTGGCCATTGACTCGCTAATCCAGGTTTTCAAAGTTAATTTGTCTGAAAACATTTCATTTGTTGGCTTCTTTCCTGTGAAAATTTCCATCAGCATTATCCCATAGCTATACACATCACCTTTAACTGAAATTACTCCCTTAGATCCATATTCTGTATGTCAACATTAATGTGAACATGTTGAATGATAAATAAAAACTTGATTAGATATAATATGAATTTGAAGTGAAGAAATTACCTGGTGCAGCATAGCCAAAAGTAGCTAAAGTCTCAGTATGAGTTTTGGAATGTCCTTCATCCAAGAGCTTGGAAATGCCAAAGTCACTCACATGTGCAACCATATCTTCATCCAGTAACACATTACTAGGCTTCAAATCACAATGAACCACTGGTATTGAAGAACCATGGTGGAGATACTCCAATGCAGATGCAACATCTATCATTATATTCAACCTTTGCAAGAAATCCAAAAAATAGTTTTCTGAGTATAACCATTTTTCCAAACTTCCATTTGACATAAACTCCATCACCAATGATTTGAAATCGTCATTTGAACAACTGGTAATAACCTCAACAAGATTTCTATGTCGGAGATTGCGCATTGCATTACATTCTGCATCAAAACTTTTTGACGTTGCTTCCGATGTCAAGTCAAGCACTTTAACTGCTACCATCTTCCCGGTGGAAAGCATTCCTTGATACACGGATCCAAAGCCTCCTTTTCCAAGTAAATTACTCTCATTGAATCCATTAGTTGCTTTCATGAGTTCATAATAGGAAATCCTGCTTGGAGCCCCTAAAGTTGATAAGTCCTTTTCAATTGGATTTCCAACTTTTTTCCTTTTATGCATTCGAAGCACTAAGCCCACAACAATCAAAATTCCTAACACAAGAATTATGGATGAGATGCATGGGATTAATAACTTCTTTTTCCTATGTTTATCACATGAAGGTACTTGTAAGAGAGGACTGCCACAAAGTGCTTCGTTATGAATGAAAGATTGAGCGGTGAAGCTTTTGAAAGGTCCTCCATTTGGAATCTCTCCTTGCAATCTATTATATGAAAGATTAAGGTGTTCAAGATAGGAAAGTGACTCTAAAGATTTTGGGATCACACCGGTTATAAGATTTTGAGACAAGTCTAAAATCCTTAAGCTTAGCATTTGACCAAGTGATGTTGGGATAGGACCTTTCAGTTTGTTATATGCTAAGGACAAAGTGTCTAAACTTATCAAAAAGCTTATGGTTGTTGGGATGCTGCTTGAAATTTGATTTCTTGACAGATCTAATAGCACAAGATGTTCCAAATTCTTAATCTCTGGTGGAATATTACCGGTTAAAGCATTGGAGGATAAGTTTACCTCTAAAATATCTTTGAGATTCCAAAAGGAGGAAGGTATTGTAGAGTTTAACTTATTAGATCCTATGTAAAGTTTAATAAGAGAAGTCATATTTCCCAAACATGTTGGTAAAGCTCCAAAAAACTTATTGCTTGTTAAATTCAAGACACCCAAACTCCTAATTTCACAAAGTTCGTCAATTATAGGCCCTTGAAGTTCATTGTAGTCAAGATTCAAAGTTTGAAGTTTTTGCAATGCTTTTATTGTACTAGGAATTGGTCCATTTAAATCATTATCCCTTAAAGATAAATGAATCAAGTTGGTCATGTTTCCAATTTCTAGTGGAATATTTCCATTAATTCCACAAGAATCTGCCCAAAAGCTTTCTACAGTTAAGTTTCCAATTGACTTGGGAAGTTTTGATAGTAAACTATTAAATGATAGTTCAAGGTATTCCAGATTTCTGCAACTTGTAAGTGAAGTGAGGAAGTTGAATTCATGAGAATCATCCATTGTCAAATTATTGCCAGCTAAGATGAGGGTTTGGAGGACTCTTAAATCTCCAAAAGATTTTGGTATAATTCCACTAAACTCATTTTCACTCAAATCAAGTTGAACGAGTTTTGAAGCATTGGAAATACTGTTAGGAATATTTCCTACAAACCTGTTTCCATACATGTGGAGTTCTTGTAGGTTTGGAAGGCCTAATCCCATATTTGATGGAAGAATGCCCGAAAGAGAATTCAGTTCAAGAAGCAAATATTCCAATGTTGAAATGTTGAGGAGATTCGAAGGGATTAGTCCACTTAAGCTGTTATTTCCCAATTGTAGAATCTGAAGTTGATTGAGATTGCCAATCTCCATTGGTATTGAACCTAAAAACACATCATAGACAAAACAATAAATAAACAAATTTACATGTAAATAAGAAAGCTTGACACCAATGGTGCATGATGCATGTAATTATGAATCTTTTAATGAAAACGAACATATTACTATCAATGGTGTGCGTAATTAGAAATTAGTTGGTTATGAATCTCTTACATAATCTGGACAACTCTCACTTGTTAGTATTAGAAGTAATTCATCTTTAATTAGTTGTACTATTTTCTTAGCCCCTAAGTTTGTTAGAGGGTATTTTAGTATTTTATCTTATTCTAGTAACCCTAGTTTTAGCTTATAAATAGGGTTACAATCATTGCAATTTTGTAGTAGTAGTGTGTAGCCGTCATTCTCTTAATAGAATATTTCTCTATTCATCATTTATTCTACCTTTGCACCAACAATTGGTATCTAGATCTCCGGTTCAGATTCATTGGGAAACACGGGAAACACGAGTGAACGTGAAGTCTTGTGTGTTTGATTTTGATTCTTAGATTCGTGTTGAATCTTGAACAAAATCTGATCAGAATTTTAATTCTGTGGGTTGGGAAACACTGTGTGAGAAATCTGAGTGTATTGTGTAAGGTAGAAGATGAACGAAAACGGCAACATGAACACCAAACTTCCAGTATTTGATGGTAAAAACTGGAATCGTTGGATGATCCAAATGCGTGTGCTATTTGGTGCTCAAGATGTTCTAGATCTTGTCACTGATGGTTATGTCCCAGTAGCAGCAAATACAACAGATGAACAGAAAAACGCGCAGAAGGAAGTAAGGAAGAAGGATCAGAAAGCATTGTTCTTCATTCATCAATGTGTGGATGTAAATGTGTTTGAGAAGATTGCAGATTCAACAACAGCAAAGGCTGTGTGGGACACATTGGTGAGATGTTATGGTGGTAACGCATTAGTGAAGAAGGTGAAGCTTCAGACCTTGAGAAAGCAGTATGAGAATCTCAACATGAAGAATAATAAGAAAGTCTCTGAATACATCTCCAGAATGATTCTGATCACTAATGAGATGAAGGCGTATGGAGAAACTCTTTCTGAAGAAGCAATCATGGAGAAAGTATTGAGATCCCTTACCCCTCAATTTGATTACATTGTGGTAGCAATAGAACATTCCAAAGATCTGAGCACCATGAGAATTGAAAAGCTGCAGAGCAGTCTAGAAGGCAAAGAGTTGCGTTTGATTGAGAGAACTTCTAAAAAAGAAGTAGAGCAGCAGGCTCTGAAAGCAACTTCTGATAGGAGGTATCAGAAACAGTCAGAAGTCAGGAGAAGATCTGATGGTGGTCAGAAGTCAGAAAGTTCAACCTCTGATAGACAAAATAATGCTCATAAGGGAAAAGAGACGTATGACAAGAAGAAGATCCAATGTTACTGTTGTAAGAAGTTTGGTCACTTTGCTAGAGATTGTTGGTCAAACAAGGAGAGAAAATCAGAAGAAGCAAATATAGCCAGAAGTTCTGATGACGAATATGTGCTATTGATGGCCTCTGAATCTGATAATATGGATCTGATAGACTGGTGGTATATGGCACTGGCTGTTCAAATCATCCTACTGGAAACAAGAAATGGCTGGTTGACTTTGACTCTGAAAAGAGGACAAAGATCAGATGTGCTGATGACAAATATCTTAACGCAGAAGGTATGGGAAATGTCAGAGTGATTTTGAACAATGGGAAAACAACATTGATTCAGAACGTGTGGTATGTACCTGGCATCAGAAGCAATCTGATGAGTGTAGGACAATTAATTGAGAAAGGTTTTTCAGTTACCATGAAGGACAATCTTCTGAAACTGTATGACTGCAATCAGAAGTTGATTATGGAGTCAGAACAGGGAAGGAATAGAACATTCAAGGTGAATGTCAGAACTGCAGACTCAGAATGTCTTAGTGCAACAAGTGCTGAGAAGGAGAGTGAGTTGCGGCACAGAAGATTTGGTCATTTGAATTTCAGAAGCTTAAAACATCTGAATTCAAAGAAGTTGGTACATGAAATTCCTGTAATTAAGAAGCCTGAAAAGTCGTGAAAAGTTTTCATGGAAGGAAAACAACCACGATTGCCATTTGCGTCAGAAGCTGCTCCAAGAGCAAAACATGCCTTGGGAGTTGTACATTTTGATGTGTGTGGTCCATTTCCAGTAGCATCAATTGGAGGGAATAAATACTTTGTGTTGTTTGTTGATGAATTCACAAGAATGACATGGGTATCCCTTATTAAATTTAAACATGAGGTGTTTGATGAATTCAAGAAGTTCAGAATGAAGGCTGAGAATCAGAGTGGTCAGAAGTTGAAGATTCTTAGAACTGACGGTGGAGGTGAGTATAACTCCAAAGAGTTCCAGAAGTTCTGTGAGGATAATGGAATTGAGCATGAGATTACTGCTTCTTATACCCCTCAACACAATGGTCTTGCTGAAAGAAGAAACCGCACTTTGCTTGATATGGTGAGAAGCATGCTAAAGGAGAAGAAGCTTCCTTAGAAGCTCTGCGGAGAAGCTGTTGCCACTGCAACGTATGTACTCAACAGATGTCCTACGAAGAAGTTGAAGGAAATAGTTCCAATATAGAAGTGGACTGGAGATAAGTAAAGTGTTAGTCATCTGAAGGTGTTTGGTTCTTTTTGCTATAAACATGTTCCAGAAGCCAGAAGACAGAAGCTGGATGATAGAAGCAAAGTGATGATTCTGATAGGGTACCACAGTACAGATGCATACAAGCTCTATTATCCAGAAACCAATAAAATTGAATTCAGCAGAGATGTGATTATGAAGGAATTAGAAGTTTGGAATTGGGATAAGTCTCAATCTGACTCTGATGTTATAACTTCTGAAGAAAGGTCAGAGTTAAGAATTTCTGAAGTTGGAGTAAATTCTGACGTTGACTCTGATAGTGATTCAGACTCTGGAGAAGACTCAGAAGATGAAGGTGACTCTGATGATCCAAACTCTGATGGCAATCCATATCCTGGTGGCAATTCAGACTCTGGAAATATGCCAGACTCTGAAGATGGTCAAAGCTCTGGAGGAAGTCAATCATCTGAAGCTAGAAACTCTGAAGCTCAAGACTCTGAACAAGTTCAGAGACCACAAAGAATAAGAAACGTCCCCAGAAGATATGCAGAATTTGACATGCTGCAAGACACTGAAGTAGATTCTGAAGGAGAAGTTACTCAGTGTGCCATGATAGTAGACTCTGAACCCATAAGTACAGAAGAGGCTCTTAAGCAGAAGCTCTGGCTGAAGGCCATGAAAGAAGAACTTGATGATATAGAGAGAAACAAGACTTGGAAGCTAAAAGAACTTCAAAAAGACAAGAAAGCCATCAGCGTCAGATGAGTTTTCAAGCAGAAGTTAAAGCCAAATGGTTCAATTGGCAAACATAAAGCAAGGTTGGTAGCCAGAGGATTTCTACAGAAACCTAGGCTAGATTATTCTGAAGTGTTTGCACCTGTAGCAAGACATGAAACAATCAGAATGGTGATTGCAATAGCTGCTAACATGAATTGGCCTCTGATGCATTTAGATGTAAAATCTGCATTTCTGAATGGTCCATTAGAAGAAGAAGTTTACGTGTCACAACCTCCTGGATTTGTGAAAAAAATCAGGAAGGGATGGTGTACAGATTATACAAAGCTCTATATGGACTGAAACAAGCGCCTAGAGCTTGGAATCAGAAGATTGATTCATTTTTCAAGAAGCAAGGCTTTCAGAAATGTGAGATGGAGTACGGTGTCTATGTTCAGCATACTTTTGAAGGCAATATGACTCTGGTATGTTTATATGTTGATGATATACTATTGACTGGAAGTTCTGAACAAGAGATAGCCAAGTTAAAGAAAGTTCTGATGAATGAATTTGAAATGACTGATCTAGGCAAAATGACATACTTTCTAGGGATGGAGTTCAGATATTCTGAGAAAGGTATCATATTGCATCAGCTCAAGTATGAATTAGAACTTCAGAAGAGATTTGAACTGAAGAATTGTAAGATTGTTGTCACACCTTCTGATACAAATCAGAAACTGGATTCTGACTCTGATGGAAAGGATGTGGACGCTACAACCTTCAAACAATTGGTTGGTTCTCCGAGGTATCTGTGCAATACCAGACCTGATATTTGTTATTCTGTTGGGATGGTTAGTAGGTTCATGAGTAAACCTAAGTGGTCCCATTACCAAGCTGCTGTCAGGATTCTGAGGTATATCAAGGGAACTCTGAAGTATGGAGTGTTGTTTCCTTCTGGAAGAAAGGATGAGTCAGAACTTCTGAGTTATTCAGATTCAGATTGGTGTGGAGACAGAGTTAACAGGAGAAGTACATCTGGGTACTTGTTCAAATTTCTGGGAGGTCCCATTTCTTGGTGTTCCAAGAAGCAACCTGTTGTGGCGTTATCAACCTGTGAAGCTGAATACATTGCATGTGTTGTTACTGCATGCCAAGCTGTGTGGATTCTGAATCTGTTGCATGATCTGAAGATTAAAATAAACAAACCTATGAAGTTGATGATTGACAACAAGTCTGCAATCAATCTTGCCAGAAACCCAGTGTTGCATGGGAGAAGCAAGCATATTGAGACCAAGTATTATTTTCTGAGACATCAAGTTCATAGTGTAGTGCTAGAAGTTGTACACTGCAGCACTCAGAAACAGTTGGCAGATGCTCTGACGAAAGCTATCAAGACTGATCAATTTCTCAGACTAAAGGATGGAATTGGTGTTACAAGTTTTGATGGAATATGAATTAAGGGATGGTATTAGAAGTAATTCATATTTAATTAGTTGTACTATTTTCTTAGCCCCTAAGTTTGTTAGAGGTTATTTTATAATTTTATCTTATTCTAGTAACCCTAGTTTTAGCTTATAAATAGGGCTGCAATCATTGCAATTTCGTAGTAGTAGTGTATAGCCGTCATTCTCTTAATAGAATATTTCTCTATTCATTATTTATTCTACCTTTGCACCAACAGTTAGTTATCTTTACCTTTCATGATATATATATATATATATATATATATATATATATATATATATATATATATATATATATATATATATATATATATATATATATATATATATATATATATATATATATATATATATATATATATATATATATATATATATATATATATATATATATATATATATATATATATATATATATATATATATATATATATATATATATATATATATATATATATATATATATATATATATATATATATATATATATATATATATACTCATCCTTGTTTTTTGAGTGTTAATGAATTAATATGTTTGAGAACTTATTAACTAAAACATGAAGTATTTTAATCAATCTTATACATACCATTAATAAAAATTGATTTCTTAAGACTTTATTCTTTGATGTCAGTTGAATTAATCAATTTATTGCACTCAATTAATTTAATAGACATGAAAAATTAATTTCATTTTTACAATATAAAGACAAAATATGGTATTTTAGTGTAATTTATTTCTCTATTAATTTTACCCTTAGTTTAATGTATAACTTACTCAATAATTTTTATTAATTTCTTACATAACTTTCTATCTAACTTACTACTACTAACTTCTTACTTAATAGATAAAATTAATATTATATAAAAAATATCATTTAAATTTTTACGTGTATGCATTAAAAAAGCGGACAGACGGACACATGAGTGTCCGTCTGAAAGTTAGTATATGTGTTTGTCTGAAAGTTAGTGTATATAAAGGCAAAACATAGTGTTTTGGTGTAACCTATTTTTCTACCAATTTTACTCTTACTTTACACAATAACTTCTATTGAAACTATTATTACCATCTTTCACATAACTTCCCACTATTAACTTTTTATCCAACTTCCTATTATTAACTTCTTACATAACTTTCTTTTAAAATTAATACTATATAAAAAAAAAATTTCATTTAAATTTTTATGTGTGTCCATTAAAAAAGCGGACAGACTGCCACGCGAATGCGCGTCTGGACGCTAGCATATATATAATACTGGAACCCTAAGTTTTATCACAGAAATAAAACGGAACTATAGTTGTACTATACTTTCAGATGACGATTAATACTAGTGGGAAATTCGAGGTGATAAGGTTCGACGAGACATACATCTTCACACTATTGCAAAAGAGGGTTAAAGATCTGTTGTCTCAACAAAGTTTATAAAGGGGTTGTGTGAGACGAAATTTACCAACACGAAGGATAGTGATTAGAAAGACGTCAAGGATAAGGCCGAGGGATGGATGTGTTTCAGACGAAGTGATGTATCATATCATAGACTTAACGACGTCGAAGGAGGTTTGGGGACAACTTAAAGAATAAGTATATATCAAAGACGTTAATGAACAAATTGTTTGCAAAACAGCAAATATACAAACTGAATATGCAAGAAGGGTTCGAATTTAAATAATATGTCAATTTCTTTAACAATATAATCATTGATCCGGTAAAACTCAGGTGAAAATTGATCATGAAGATAATATATATATAAAAGGTAAATAAGTAAAATATGAAAGTAAAATATTGAGTGTATACCTGTAAAAAAGTTATCCGTTAAACTTAAAAATTGTAACGATGTGCAATTGCCAATTGACTGTGGGATGATTCCCCCCAAATGATTAACGTGGACAGAAAATATTTGAAGTTGAGGAAGTTGATGACACATATCACGTGGAAGAGTTCCATTTAAATTGTTTTTGTCCAAGTCAATACCTATTAAAGAAGAGATGTTGAAGAGGGACACTGGAATTTCACCTGTATGTATCACAATACGTGAAAGTATTAATGCAATGCAATGAAAGTGTGTGAGCTCAATATAAATGTTGAATTTGAATCCACAAATATTTGTATAAAAATCAACACGTATCTTTAGAAATATTCAATCATAATTTTTCTATTAAATAAAAATAGAAATAATTTTCTCTCTCTCTCACACTTAATAACCACCTCCCATTATTTCAATTAAAAACAAAATTAAATTTAACTTTTTCTTTTATTTATTCAAAAATCACTGTTATGAATATACTATTTGATTATTAAATTTTAATTATATAATTCTTTTTTGTCTAAATATAAGTTCATGAGTTTAGGTTATTTTTGTTTAATTTTAAACTAAAATATAAAGTACCCCTAATAATTTTTGGCCTGTCAAGAAAAACTAGAGTAATTTTGAAATATCCACATTCGTTACAATGTCTAATTTTCTTAATATATATGTCAAATGCTGCTTAACTAAAATTAATTTGTTAGTGAAAATATCTTACCCTCCAAGTTGGTTTGATAAAGATACAAATATTGAAGCTTGGTCAAGTTTCCAATGTCCCCAGGCAAAGGTCCTTTGTCGAAGTTATTGAATGATAATTCTAAATCTTCCAACTCTTTGCAATAACGCCAAACATTGGGCATCTTACCAGAAAAATCATTACCAAACAGATAGAGTAATTTAAGGTTTGGAATCCCTTGACAAATATTTGATGGAAGAATTCCAGACAGATTATTGAAACCAAGATTCAAATTTTGCAACGATGATAAGTTGTTGAACATAAATAATATGTTGCCTTTGAGCATATTATATTCAAGGTTCACAGTTCTCAATTGTGTAAGATCACTAATTCCTTTCGGAATTTCACCTGTAAATTGATACCTATAAATAATTTATTTAACAAATAAACATAGATAATTTCACATTTATAATATATCATACATACCTGATAAGGAGTTATTTGATAAATGGAGTTCTTGGAGTGAGGCCATATTTGAAATTGTTGTTGGTATGATTCCAGACAACTTCACGTTATCTCTTATATCCAAAACTCTCAATCTACGAAGTTGACCAATAGCATGTGGAATGGTTCCTACAATGAAATTTAATTTTCAATTTAAGCACTCTATAGATTAATTTTGAAGAAGAAATCCAACAATATTATTTATAGCTTCACGTTATCTTTATTATCCTTGAAGACATTTCTCCAACTAAATGATAGTGACTCAAATTCAATCTATGCGAGTGAAGTAACTCTTGTGGTAACTCACCATGAAAACTATTGCCGTGTAAGTCAAGAACGAGAAGAAAAGAGAGATTTCCCAATTGAGGGGAAATGAAACCTTGAAGGCCCATGTTACTAAGATTCAATGCATTTACTCTTCCATGATGTTCATCACAAGTGACACCAGCCCAATTGCATGAACTGAAAGAAGAAGAATTAGAGGATACTGACCAATTACTAAGTACATGATAAGGGTCTAAAGTAATAGATGATTTGAATGAAAGAAGTGCAAATTCATCGGTGGTGATGTTTTTTTTAGTACTCATAGCTAAGCAAGTGGAGACGTAAAAATAGAGTGAGGCAGAGAGAATACAGAGCCAATTAGAGTATAGGTTGGCCATTTTCAATATAACATATGCATGAGTCTAAATCACGGACGAGTTTATATATATGCATGAGTCTAAAACACGGACGAGTTTAGTGTCAAAGTTAAATATTTTGTTTAAAAATTTGTATTGAAAATCACAATTTTTAAAATTTTAGTAAGTAACATACAATTTCTTGGAAGGAACTGTAAGAAGATGGCAACCAGAAAGAACAAAATAAATAGTATTTATCAATACGAATAGACATGACTTATTATAAAAATAATATCTTCATAGACTCATAGACTAACCGAGGATTTCAATATAATATCTTTATTTTTTCTCTCTTCAAAACGACCTTAACTAATGATACATAAAAATTTGTTTAATTCAATATATAGTTTGGTTAATATGTATTTTGACATAAAAAAAATAGTTTTAATGAAAAAATAAAATTGATTAATTGAGTATTTAATTCTGTTAGAATATTGTAAAAGCATTTAACGGTTTCTATTTTTATATAAGTTGTTAGGTGTTAAAGTTAACTATCACAGTTAACACACTTTGTATATAAGCTACTGCTATATCACCAGAAGGTTTAACTGATTCATTCTTTCAATAATAAGAGTTTCATTCTTCTTCTATTATAACTTTCTGTTTCAATCTTGTAATCACAATGAAGGTGAATGTTAAGCTTCATTTCTAATATGGTATCGGTTGCGGTTTCGATTGCTTACGCTTTTGTCACAACGTGAAAAACAACCGGCAGAAAACAAATTCGCCACCGAACGTTATTTATCTTGACGAGAGAAAAGAAACGATCGAAAAAACCTTAAAAAGGGAAAAGACATGGTCTCGCAACCAAATCCTGGATTTAGAGTCGACTACGCGAGAGGAAGGTATTAGTATCTCTCGCGTCTGCTGTACTCAACAAGATCCACTCTTGTTGTTTTAATCAAATGGTGTGTTTATCTAAAGCCTACTTGCTAAACAGAGACGAAAAGGGAAAAACCAAAAAGGAGACTCGATAGGACTTCGCCGTCCTATGCCTACGTATTCCCTCGTGCAATGAGAAAGTCAGAGTCAACGTAGTTCAGAGGACTACAGATGAAAGGGGAACGGTGCTCGCCAACACTTCGCCCTCTTGTTCCTACGTATCTTCAATCGGACGAGAATGAAGAAGTCAGAGCGTTCGTAGTTCAGCCTACCACGGGTGGCTAAGTGTCTTTTATGAGCGATGCTAAATTCTCATTCCAGCAGTTAGGGTCGAGACCTGTTTGTGGTAGAACGAAAGTATCATGCCCTTTTTAAAAAGGTTTGAGAGAAAATCCCAAACGACAAAATGTTTTTCATTTGTTCAAAAGTTTTATAAGAAATGGATTGGTTTTGTTTGAGATGCGTATTGTGCTAAAGTCTATGACATATGATCGAATACTTCGTATGATCGACTCAAGATGGGACGTATACAAAGCACTCTAAACAAGGTAAGAAGAGACTCACGCTTATCATTTTCCATGTACTTAAGGCTCGTGACATACAATACTCATGGTATTTATTACGTGTTTCAATTTGATTTGAGAGAGAGAAGAAAAAGACTCAAAGGGCAAAAGGAAAAGACTAAGGAAACTCCACCCTAAATGTTGTCATGCCAAATGGTCCTATAGTTGAGATGAGAAAGAGAATTCTACCCTAATATTATCATAAAAAAGATAAACCTAAGGTTGAGGTCAAGAGGGAGCTACCCTAATGTTGTCATGCAAAGGATGAACCTAAGGTTAAACTCAAGAGGGAGCTACCATAATATTGTCATGCAAATGATTGAGAGTCTAATGTTTATCCTACTCCAAACTTAATCAGAAATTTAGTTGGACTAGGAGCCTTAAGGGGACATGTGAACAAACGCAAGTAAATATTAAACAACCCAATCACAAACAACACAAAGTATTCAAAGCTCAAAGGAAGAGAAAGGAGATGAAGAGAAGAAAGATCAAGGTACCAAGTAGTCAACTCAAACATCACAACAATTAAGAAGATTCAACAATCAATTCATAAATGGAAAACATTCATGCTAAAGCCAAGACATGTTTATCATATAAACCAAAGCATCCAAAGATGGATAAGGCAAAAAATTAACCCACATACTCCAATCATCATAAATCATGCTCAAAGGATTCATACATTAAAGTTGAAGAAGATAGGCAATGACAATCATAGAGATGCACAAGCAAACATGTCCTAAAACCATATCAAACATCACCAATAACTCAAGCCAAAGAAATATGGTTCAAGCAAGGTAGGAATTAAGGAATGTCAGAATCTATATCATATCATGAACAACACACCTCAAGGGTTAAGAGAGAAGAACAACATCATCAATCATAAATCATATCAATGGTTAAGCATTTGTCAACAATTATCTCATGAAAACAAACCACAAAGGATAAAACATGTGAAATTAGGGTATGGATCCAAGAAGATACATTAGCACAACCATGAAAATCAATTCAAAATCAAAATCAAAATATCAAGAAAGAAACACCAAGCATCATGTTCAAAGTATGCATCAATGATTGGGTAAACATCATCAACATCAACCTCAAAAGGAACAAATAGTCATGAGAAGTAAAAAGAGACAAATGATCATGCAATGGGCATAAATAAATGAAGGTCAGAATCTCACACAAGTCAATTAAGTCACACAAGAGTCATGAACATCAAGAGATCACACAAGAGAGCAAACTCAAGAGACTAGGTCAAGAACAAACAAGTATCATGCTCAACACATCATCAAATTGAAGCCTCAATAAAAAATAGTTAAATGACCAAACAAGTATGGATCTAAGGCTTTAACTCATGGCAAATTAATCAAGATCAATTATGAAAGAGATACCAAAAAGAAATTCATAAATTCATCATCAAATTAAATCAACAAGTTCAAGTATGTCATTAGTCGAGCATATATTGAGGACCATTTAAAACCAATTAAGAAGAATTCAAAAACTCATCATTAAGGAACCAAAACAACACTCAAATATTCATCAATCAAGTGTCAAAACATATTAGAAAAATTGTCTCAAGAAGGTAATAAAAAGGCATCAAGAATCAAACCCTAGTTCAAGGATGATTATGTAAAAGCACTTCCACAATCAATTCAAAATAAAATAGAAAACTTAATTGAAAAATAAAATAAAAATTATTAAAAATTTCTAAAGAGGTTGATTGACCAGAAACATAATTTTATCTATTTTTGAAATGAATAAAGATATTAACACAAAATCAGAATGGAAAATGAAAAAAAAGAAAGAAAGAAACAAAGCTAGGGGGTGCAATCCAGAAAAGTAAAATGAACTAAAAATAGTTCAGAAGTGCGTTGGGTCAGAATTCCAGGGGTGTGGATATCAAAGTAAGACAAGTCCAATCCAAAATAATTCAGAATCAAAAAAGAAAAAGGACACGCGAGCAAGCTCATTAAACCACCTGGATCCTACTCAATGCCACATCACGCCATGTCACTAGGCCGATCAAGAATTCAAATTAGACACAATCAGACGCCAGAGCTAGATCTCCAACCGTCTTCTCTGGTGCGACTCACCGGAGCTCGTTGCAAACTCAACCAAATCACCCAAAATTTGACACTATTCCACTCGGTTTTTCATGTTGATCAAGAATATAGCATTTTTTTCATTGAAACACACTCTAACACCATTTGAAGCATAAACTGTAATGCATTCAAATCAGCACAACAGGCACACAAACATTGCCTACACTAGTGTAGAACTTCAGAAACATCAATCAAGAGCTCAAAGCACGTCTAGCATGGAAGAAATAATATGAAAAATAAGCTTACTCAACGGAGAAGGTTTGTTACCTCTTCAAACAGTTGTAAGAGCTTCAGAAACCCCTCCTAAATGTTTCAATAACCTTCAGAGAGTAGCAACAAGCAATAAAATATAGAATCTCCTTTGGAATAGTGAGATTCAAAATTGAGAATTTTTTGAGAGGGATAACTCTTTTTCAGATCTGAATTTGTGTAAAATGAAGTTGTGAACGTGGTTAGGGTTTTTGGAGGCTTTATATATGAGGTCTATAGTGGGGTTAGAAATTAACCATGGTCCAAAAGTTTGTTATGAGTTTGTTTTGTAATTTTGAAATTTGGAGAGTGAGAAAGAGAACACATGAGCTATGCATTTTTTTAGGTGGTTTTGTTATTTTTTAGTAAGCAAAAGAGTGAAGGAATCATGTGAGTAGAGTTGGCACGTGGGAGCAAGGTTTTGGCAAAGTTATTGTGATCTCATTCTTTTCCATTTTGGTGCAAATATTTGAAAATAGGGAGCATGGAATACATGTGCTTGGTTTGGTCATTTAGGGCAAGAGAATGATGATGATACGTGTGGAATTGATGATGGGAAAAAGTATGCTACAAATGTACCAAATGATGTCAAAAATGGTAATATAGTGATGTACAAAAACATGGTCATATGGCTATATTTCACTAATCATAACTTGGTGAGCTTTGCTCCATTTGATGCATTCTTGAGCTCAAATAAAATAAGGAAGAACAATGAACAAGTTTCATGTTGAAAAAAAATTGAAACAATGCTTGGAAGGTGATGGAAAACTCCCTTGAAATTATGTCCACAAAGCTGTCTCATGACACTTCGAAAAAATTCTAAGTTAAAATCAAAATGGACCTCAAAATATCTTGACTTTGTAGCACCATAACTTGAGTTGTATTGAACCAAATGAATAGTTCATGGCATCCATGGAAAGCTTGAACAACAAGGAACAACTTTCACGTTAAAGGAAATTTGAATTCAAGCTTGAAACTATGAGAAAAATTCCCTTGAAGTTGGTTCCAAAAATCTGCCTAAGGACTTACCAAATTTTCCAACTTGATGATAATGACTTTGAAGCATAATATCTTGAGCCCTAAGGATCCAAATGGAGAGTTCTTGATACCAAAAGAAAGCTTGAAAGATGAGGAACAACTTTCATGTTAAGGTCAAAGTAAGATGACGCTTGGATCATCAAGAAAA